ATGGAGAAACAGGCAAATACAGTGTTTTGACTAAAATGTTAACAAAAATTGCATTTTGTCAAAACATAATGAATAAATGCTTTATCAATGTATCATTTGAATGAACTGTCTGAAATATAATCATAAAACAAAATTTTGAAGCACTTTTTTGAGCTGTAGCAACAAAAAACCTGATTTTCACGCCTTAAAATTTTGAGATTTTCCCTGTGAGCTAGCAAAGTTTTGTTTAATATTTTTATTAGGAGGGAAGGATACATTACAAGCAAAATTTTAACAACGATAAACAATATGCCATGTGTTATACATGTTATACAACCTCTTCGTGACATTGGTAGAAAAGAACAAAACATAGGTACAGAAGAGGTAGGAAGTATATAAATGAAGAGAAAAAAAAAGAAAGGCATACAATTTACCTCATAAGTGTTTTTCTTTTTCTTACATGACTAAAATGTAATTAGGTCATTTTGACCAAATTTGACGTAATAGGACATGTATTTCCTTTTTTTCTTTTTCATGTTTTGTTCCACCTACAAGGTTGGTGTCGTCAATTCAGGCGGTCATGGCTTCGTCAGCAGGATACATCATCGCTTCTTCCTGTGAGGACATCATTGAGGACCAGTAAGTCATTKTGTTGCATTTGACTCACTAGCTCTCTGTTTTATAGTGAGAAACAATGCAGCTGATGGGATCAGTGGTTTTGTCTAGATTTGTTGTCATTTAAAAGCTGAATTTAAACAAATCACTAAGGACTCACAGACAGTGTTAAAACAGTGTGGCCTGGCTGTTATCAAAGGTCTGAATGAATTATTTTCACACTTTGTTTTAAAATTAGAATTAAAAGTCTTCCTTTTYTTCTGCACAGGCACTGGCTGACCAGCACTTACATCATGTTTGCCGTTCCCTACTTCGTGTACGACATCTACGCAATGTTCATGTGCTACTGGTACAAGCTGCGGGTCAAAGGGCACGAGGAGGCCTCGGCCGCCCCCCAGCGCATGAGCTCGGCCCTGACCAGCTACCTGCGCCGCGAGTTCCTCATGGTGCTGCACCACGTCGTCATGGTCGCCGTCTGCTTCCCCGTGTCTGTGGTAACGGTCGCACATTGTTGTTGTTTATTTAGCTGAGATATGAGCGAGGCAGGAAAAATACAACACTGACATAATAATCTAACTAACCCCCCCACATGTGCAGCACTTGTCTTACTCCCCCCAGRGGTAACCCATTTGGTGTTTAAAAGAAATCTAGAGGAAAATAAATGTAACTAGAGGAATGGCATTTTTTTTTTTTTTGTGAACGCTGAGTTGTTAAATAAGTTGTTAAAGCTATAAGAAGCAGAACACCAGGTAGCTAAAAGTAGCAGAATGGTAGCTTAAAGCTAAAAGTAGCCTAAGAAGACAAAAGTAGAGCAATTCTGCTGAAACAAATTGCAGGGAGGCTGTTTCTTTTAGAGATTTTACTGTATTTTTGTGTTGGAAAAAGTTTAAAAAAAGTAATTTTGAAAAGCTTAAA